TATATATATACAATTGTCAGGGTCAATCATTCTTCTTTCTTTGAAACCTCACGATTTGAAAGTAACAATATGGAAATAAAAGTATTGTTCTCAGAATTGAAATAGAAATGGAATATTTCTATTTCACACAAAAAAAATAAAATTAATCAAATAATATAATTGAGTAGATGATAGGCAAGTAATTATGCATATGGGTTATAATCTTAAATACAGTTCAGTGGAATTTAATGAAGAAAATTTCATTGAAATGTGACGTTTTTATTGATCGCATTAAATGTGAACGATTAAATTATATTTAAAATAATACATTTATTATTCTTGTTTTGGAATCGTTTGATCTTATATGTTGAGCTATTAAAGTAGTTAATAGATTATTTATTAGTTTACCGAGAATAAGTTCATGATTTCACCAGAAAATCTGATTCGCTAATTTTATGTTCTTGATCTTTTGAGCGATTTTGTATCATTTGACATAAAAAATAATATTAAATATTTCCTTTCATTATAGTGTTTTTTGAAAACAAAGCAACTAGATAAAACTTTGATTGATTTGTAATTACCCGTAATTGTTCAACGTTTTCACAAAAACTGCCGAACAAATTTTATTTGCAAGTTTTTAGTAAAGACCACGTTTTATTAAAATTTTACTTAGTTTTTGAATTAAAAATCGGATAAAATATTATTCAAATCATTACCAATTTGATTTCCTGCATTAATTTATCAGATGATTTTTCCATTGCTAATATCTATCGCCGACTTATGCCTAAATAAACTTTTGGAACATGTGTTTTTCTATGTGTAAATCTTTTGTTAAAAAAATAATCTTCATAACTTAAAGTCAAGTCAAAATAGGGTGATACTATTGACCTTAACTGTCCTAAAAATAATTGGAAAAAATTATCTCAAAATGTTTGGAAAATATGAGCTTTTAAGTGCAATCTAGAGCTTTGTTAATATCGTTTTTATTTTTTTATTCAAAAATTATCAAGACTAAAACTCTTAAGTTTTTTACTATTTTACTCGTATAATTCTGCTTAAATGCGCCAACTTTTAATAAAGCTTGCCAAGATACTTTAGTACAGTAGTTCAATAAAATGTCTTAATTTTTGAAAACTCAGGGTAATCGTGTTATCAGTTTTACTATGGTTCTTGGCTGCAGTTTCAATGTTTAAATGAACAAAACTAAAAAAAATACCACAATAACCAATAAATGGTCATAATTTCACCAAAGCTCTAAGTCGCACGTAAAAGCTCATAATTTCTGAACAACGTGAGATTTGTTTTTTCTAAATATTTTTAAGACAGTTAAAGTCAATACTTTCACCCGGCTTAATGTTAAGTTCTGGAACACTCTGTATATATAAATTATTTATATTTATCTATTGCTTTTGTTCTCAGTATTATGAAAGAAAACGTTAAAAAATGTGCTATTTGCTCAAAATTGATTATTCGCCATATCACATTTTGAGAACTATTTTATTTCTCGAAAAAAAAAAATAAGATTCCTAACCAATAAATAAAGATTTTAAAATCAATTGTAGAATATAAATTCTAAGCATACATTTTTATTTCTTTGATCCCAGAACATTATTGAATGTCGGGTAATCATTCATTGAATGATCCACTATATTTAAAATTAAATAAAACAGATGTTTATTTTCAACAATCAAATAAGTAGATCAATGTAATCAATGTATGGTAATTTAGCATTAATACGATACGATTAATATTCTGTTCAATCACGTCAGAATTGATAGTACAAAACTTTCTCATGCGGCTTGTCGCAATCTTTGTTTTTATGTGGGAAATTATATTATTCTTTGAATAAAAATTTTACTATTTTTTTAATCGATACCGTTATAAGAATATAGGTCATGGCATCTATATTTATTTGCGATTATAACAATAATAGTATAATCTATTTGAATTATGTTGTCACTAAAGTTAGAATAGAATAATTGTGCAAAACTACTTTGTTGCCTACCATATACTACACTTCAACAAAATTACTGTATGACCTCATAATATCGATAGATAGCAATTAAAAAACAAATTACATTTAATTGACTTAAGAGTAAAATCTCAAGATTTTGAAAGAAAATTGATTGCTGTATAGGAAGTTGCTAGTTGATGATCTTTTCCAGGCTTTGGTACAAGTATGATATCTGCTATTTTTTATTCTGCATGAAACTTCAAAAACAATGCTCTAAATATTATTAGAATGACGGTCCGATTTTTTATCATCTTTATCGATATTTCGTCATAACCTAGAGATCAGCCTGCTTTTGGTTTGGAAATTTATGCACATTAATTTAACAATTCTAATTTAGGCTTCTAATGATGGACTATGTCTGCAAACTTTTGTATGATTCCGAAGTTTGGAGATGCATTACATACACAAGTTTTATTTAATCTACTTCTGACTATAACTACTGTCGAATCTAGTATTGGGCTCGCAAGTTCCATAAATAGTTGATTAGTTATGACCATCAATGGCAGATTAAGCTTTCATCCGCCCTAGTCCCCACCTGACCAGGCGCCCGTTTCAATAGACAAAATTTTACTTTTTTAATTAAACAGTTTATTTTAAATTACTTACATATAATTTTTAATTATCAGCAGGGTGAGTTATAGTAATCGCAAAAGAATCTAATATATTTTTTTGCATATCATTACGTCTGCATATGTTCAGGAAGTCTAGAAACGTAAATATTTTATAAAAATTTCATTTAATTAATTTCCCGTAGGGTAAGTTATAGTAATCGCAAAAAAATCGAAAATGAAAATTTTTGCATTTCTCGTCGTTTCAAAGGTTTCTGAATATTTTGGCATACCTTAGAAAAAATGGATGTATGTGTGTGTGTGCGTGTGCGCGTGTGTGTGTGTGTGTGTGTGTGTGTGTGTTCGGATACAAATTTTCGTTGACGATTTCGAGAACACTAATCAACCGATTTAAATAATTTAAAAAACATTCGATTCGTACTGATAAGGAGACGTGCTGATTAGTTTTTGGTGAAAGCAGGTCTAGCCGTTCCGAAAATACGGGGCAAAAAGTGCCAAAAACGGTAACACGGTTTTTAAGAGAACGGAGTGTCCGATTTTAATAATTCAAAAAACATTTTACTTATATTGACAAGATGAACAACTAATTAAATTTTCATGACGGCAGGTCTAGCGGTTTCGGATATCTAGTAAAAAAAAAGTAGAAAAAAATGCCATTTGGCGGTCAAAAATGATCATTAGACATACGCACATCAAATTATCAGATATTTTTATAGAGATTTTTACAATAAGTATGAATTTTGCTTACATTCCTATGGGTTCCGTATCAATGCTTATCCGTTAGACGACGACGCGGCGCTTACGCGCTTTGACATTTCGTTTCTATGCAGTTAAAGCAGTACGATTGCTTTGAAAAAAAGTTCAGAATTTCCATACTATGCCAAAATAAAAAAAACTTTTTTTTCAAACAATTTTTTTTTTGTTCTCAAAAATCTAATTTTTTCGAAGTAAAATTTTTTCAAAAATGTTAATCACTTTTAAAAAAATAATAATTCTTGGTACGGGAAGTTTCAGCAATTTGCCCTAAGGCACGATGCCTTAATTGCCTTAAGACAGAATTCCACTTACAGCTAGTTTTTAGAGGTAATTAACCCTTCGTGAAGTTAAAAAAATGCCAATTGGCAATCAAAAATGATCATTGGACATAAGCACACCAAATTATCAGATATTTTAGTTTAGGATTTAGTTTTATTCTATACGATTAATTTCAAAGAAAAAAATATTCAAACAAAGAAATCAATTTTAAATGATCACTAAAATAAAATTTGAATTACTTTTAACGCATTTTATATGTAAGATTTACCTTGGCAAAGTTACAAAAAATGAACAGTCTTCAATATTTTTCCAAAAAAGCTTATCAGTTTGATAGTTTTTATTTTAAACATATTACATCAATAAAATTATCAATGTGGCAATAATAATAAATTTGATTAGAAAACGAATCACTCTATTTCATGAAAAATGATCCGTAAATTTATAAAACCATATCAGAATCAATCTTTAGAATGAATTGTGACATTTTATCGGGTTTAAAATTTTGACATTCTGAAAAATTTGCCTCCCCTCAAATTGTGCCGTCCTAGGCGCGGACCTCACGGGCCTATGGGTTAATCTGGCACTGATGACCATAAGTATTTTATGTAACCCTTGCAAACTTTTGATGCCCGTTTCGAACAGTATGAAGTCAAGCAGTAGTGACATCATTTTTTTTGAAAATATAGAAGCAATATGTCGCATCGATAACAAATTCATCAGTATTACAGAAATCGTGATAAAAAATTCATCAAATATGGATAGGAGTCCTATCATAGGATAATCGTTTGGGTTACCATGCATAAAGCTGCCACAACTACTCATTGAATTCGTCAAGTTTCGATTGCAGCTAATAAAATTTTTATATATGCATACATGACAATCGCTTATATATTATATCATTCATCTATATTACTGTTTGATGAGTTCATTAAAGTTCAACAGTTATGACCAAATGTAAGAAATGGCAAATATTCCAGTTGCCATAAACCAACAATAAACAATTGAATCAAAAATCAAATTAAAATACGAATAAATTATCATAATTAAAAATTGAAATTCAAAGACGCATCAACCAGAAGTCCACCCAACCGATAGTCATTCAAATTGCAACTGATAATAAAGACGGATTATTGTCTTTGACGCTGCGACTGTTTAGTGAAAATCGATTCCGACAGTATAAAGATTCTAAAAATACTATAAATATGTTGGTTTAAGTTGAGTTTTATAATAGATTTAATTATTTTTATCAAGTTTAACAAAATAATAACTAAACATAGTTCATAAAATTGTAATTGAAACGTTCATAAAGTTTAACCAAATACTAATCAACGATACACTGTTAAAAAGTTTACAAATTATTTTTAAACATTAAATCCAGTGTAATATTTAACTAAATAATCAAAATGTTGAACGAAAGTGATCTGCGGGTGACATCGGTTGATATTACGGAAAAATCAAATGGATTGTTCGAAAAACGTATCGAAAATACGAGGGTTTTCTCTAAGATAGACGTCCAAGGTATGTTTTACTCCATATCATCGAAATTATATATATATATATATATATATATATATATATATATATATATATATATTAGGGTGGTCCTTAATATGGACATTTTCGAGTTTCTTTGCTACTAAGGGCTCAAATGGTTCCAAATTGATAAAAAACAATTCTGAAAGTTTAGGCTCTTAATTATTAACATTTAGATATAGCGCAATTCAATCAAACTTCGTATGGAAATAGCATGAAAAAAAATTTTGAGAATAAAAAAAATATTTTTTAGGTATAACTTAGCGACAAATGAATTAAAAGTGAAAATTAGTGTCAATTTTATTGAAAATTCGACTCTCTGCAAAACAGGTTATTTGTTTTGTAGAGTGTCGAATTTTGAATAAAACTCATTCATTTGTTCGCTAAATCATATCTAAAAAACATTTTTAAAATTTTTCATGCTATTTTCATACAAATCTTTGATTGAATTACTAGTGAAGAACTAAAACTTTCAGAGAATTATTTTTTATCAATTTAGAACCATTTGAGCCCTTGGAAGTAAGGAAATTCTAAAATGTCGATACGATATTGAGGATTAATTTTTTATATATATATATATTGAATTTACTTGCATACATAGTATCAATGTTACCCTCATACATTTGTATTTTGTATTTGAAGTAACTGGCCACTTCTACTATTGCAATTATTTATCATATCATATAATTCATATGTGATTTAACTAAATTGTCTTTAAAATTGCTAGATGTCCATTTGCTAGAGGACAGTAAATTATACGGTAAAATAAAAAAAAAATAGTAACAACGTACTTCGTGTTCTTTTTATTTGTACGCCTGCATTTAAAAAATTAATAATGTAGTATTATAGTTTACAAAAGAAATAAATTCGAGATTAATTGCATAGTTTGCAATTTGCACAAAAACCAATAACTTAATTTATTAGAACCAATAGTTGAAACTGATTTTGTATTGAAAGCTACATTTATTGGAGCAAATTAGCTCCAATTTAGATTAAGTGTGTCATACATAAACAAAAAAAGTGTATCAAAAATATCGATGTTTAATGAAATCATCATTGAATTGCAAAGTATTGATTCTTAATTAAATACGTCGAATTAGCGAAAACAAATTAACTCAAAATATTAATAAAAGCGTTGCAAGCACAACCGTGAAATTAAATAAAGAAGATTTATGGAAAAGCTCTCCATTTATATTTGTTTATTAAATAAATACATAAATACTAGATACATATATTTAATACATATATATAGGGGATTACAGACAATTTTGTTTTTTAATGATATTTATTTATATAATGATATTATAAAATGTCTCAATCGATTTTACTCATCTCTGGTTTATTGACTACCAGTATTCTAATTAAGTAGCAACTATAATATTTATTAAGGAAAAGTGCCACCTATTATAAATTTTGTCTATATATTTTTTATATATCTTGACCAATAATTTATAATACCACTTGAGGTTCATGCCGAAATCATTTTTTTATTGTATATTGTATTGTTCTCATAACATTTAGATAATTATTTTCTGGTAATACACTTAAGTAGCATTCAATTGCCAGAAACATCTATAAATCTGATTCTAATTTATATAAGATTCTAATTTATTTATATATTAAAATTTGTTTGTTTTTTTTTTTGACGTCGATGCATATTTGATATTAGGATTACTCATTTTATTCAAAAAGCTAAAAATTGTTTAATCACAAAATAGTAGTACCGATAACCAAAAATATTTAATAGGTACTATTAAAAGTCTTTTTCATTTATTTCATTCACTCTATTTTACCATTGAAACTTCTCTGATTTATATCTAATTTATAAATTAGTGCCTCGAATTTTTTTGTGTTTTGTTTGTATGCACTGATGATGGGTCAAACCAAACCTCGAAACGTATGCTATTCTAATAAAGATATTCTTCTTCACTAATTTTTTTTTACTTATTGGATGGATGCTCAAAAACACACACACATATATATATATATATATATATATATATATATATAAAGTTGATCACAAAATACCAATTGATGTAATTAACCGTTATTCAGTTGTGAATTGATAATTATTTAAAATCATTCTATTTTTATATCTCCTTATTAGATCCGAGTTAATTTTACATTAAAATTGCATTTATATACTATGTAATTTTAATATAAAATTAATTTTATTAATATAATGTAGGTAAAAAAATATAGGTTATAACATTTCTACTAAAAGAAATAAAGTTTAAAAAATAATTGAATAAACTAAGAAAGTTTTTGTTTTTTAGATATTCTTTATACTAACAATAAGTATAAGAACTAGTAACTATTGGTGATAGTTTAATAAAATTTTTGGATATTTTAACAGACTTTTGATATTTTTATTAACAAAATTATTGTTGGTCCGCGCATCAAAGAAAGAAGCTGTCAAAATTTATATAATATAAATTATACAACTTAATATAAGTTTTAAAATAACTTATGTTAAGTTATGTTAAAATAATATAGTTGATTATATAGAGATACGAAAATCTGCATTACCATATTCTTATTTGATATACATTTGTATTTTTACAATACATATACTTCAAACTTAAAACATTTTAATTCAATAATATTTTTAATTTATTACGATTAGAATTCCATTTATATTTATTTTTTCATTTGAATTGATTACCTAAAAATTAGCAAAAAAAATAAAACTAATTTTTGAACAAGTTAAAATTCTTGTTTAGAAATTTAGAAGAATACTTGATCGTGCTTTTTGAATTGTATTTTAATTAACTGTAGATAAATTTTTCCAAGACATGGAGATTCTTGCAGAGATCGATATGTACTTTAGATTTCATAAAATATTATTATTTGTATGCAACATGATTGCACCGATCACTACACTTCTTATACGTTTTTGAGATATCAATAAATTTAAATTATTTTTATTAGAAAATAAAATTTTTAGACCTTAGAATTCAATATATAAAAATATCAATTAAAAAATATAGGTTTATTTAAAATTTAATCAAACTTAAAATTGTTCTTTAATATATCAATTTTTTTATGTGGTGGTTTCAAAAGTGATATCGCACTCGGTATTATTATTAACAAATCGCATCAACTGTGAAATTAACTATTTTAAAACATTTACTGAATAACAAAACATATTTAGACAAATTAAATATGTAGAAAATAATAAAAATAAACATTGTATGTAATTGTATGGTTAGTTTGGTGATATTGATGATTAAGCCAACAAACAACCACATATCACAACATTACTAGTTTATTGTAAAACAACTGATATTTTAATTCAGAATCTTTATTTTCAAATGGAATATATATTTATTATGTGTAAATGTGTATAAATTTCACATAGTTTTCGCCAAAATATTGCTATTATTATGATTATAAAAAGTCGTTCAAAAAATATTATGGATTTTTTCACAAATTCACTCAACTAAATATAAACTTGCGGTCTATATCAACTAAATGTAAACATCACTTCTCAACATGTAATTAGTTTTTCAAAAAAGGTTTAATGATTTTATATAAAAGGGCTTAACGTTTTAGTCAATAAAGGAAAAACAACTGATAATCTTATAGAATGATGTAATATACTGATTGATTTATAAAATTGCATAATGCAAACTTAAGATAAATTATGGAGGAATCTAGTAGATCTATCTCACATTTTTTTAAACTCTGTTTTATTTAGCAATCAGAAATTCATAAAGATTCCTATGAGCTAAAATGACAATATTTAAGAGCGATGCCTAAGAAGAACGCCAATGAGATCTTCTCAGTTTTACAATTAATATGATAATATTATATTAGACCTAATCTAAGACTAAGTCTAAAGGCCATTGTCGTTTCAATCTCCTTATGCCAAAAGGTTGAGTAATGTCAACTATTGATGGGTTCGAATGTGAGTCCAGTCTCTGATGAATGACAGATTTGATGTGATGACATTATCATAATATAAAGGCATAAAATTATCAAATCGTTCTGATAGTATTTCATGTTATTTTATTTTTTTTTATTTTAAATTAGGTATTTCTTTTAATTTAATGTTATAAAAAATAAATTAAAATAATAACAAATACACCACCCTAAGCTACTACCTTACTATCAACATCATATTTGGCATCGTAGAATTCTACTCATTCTGAATTAGCTGTATACAAATTATTGACTTATTTAACTTCTTTCTTTACGCATTACCTTTGTGAAACTTATATCACAAAATATTTTTTAAAAATGGAATTTTTGATAATACGTGGCTTTTGACAATAAACGTTACTGCGTGCCCAAAGGCATATTTATGGGGATTCTACCATTTTACCATATGTGATAATTAAAATTGTCTGTGTACTTATTGGTTGAAAGTTGGCAGATAGTCCCAATTTGTTTGTATCTTTTATATGTACTTTTTTTGCTTTCTATTTGCTATAAGTTATAGTGAACATGAATCTATAACTAGAGGTTATAGCTCCAAATGAATAAAAAATAAACCAAAGCCATCTTTAATGAATCACAAACTCTAATACTTATTCTACCGACTATTTCACTGAAATTCTTTTAGGGTGATCTTTTATAATAAAATATATTATTAAGCACTTTATGAATACCGTTATAAATATAAACCGCTTCTGATTTTTAATATTTGTCATTTTCTCATGTTGAAAGTTAGATAGCATGATACATATAGGTACCATATTCTTACCAATATTCTAGCTTCACATATGTTAGAATCTTGGTAAAAATATGCTTTTTAAAAATCGTTTTATCATTATCTCCAATTAGTTCGCACATATTGCGCACTTCTGTATTGTAATTGTTATGTTAGTAAAATTGTAAAAAAAACTAACAGTTTTAATATTTTTATATTATGTGGGATTACCATATTCTGATACCATGGATTATTGCTTTTTCTGTTTTCAATAAAAGTAATCAAATTAAATGTAATTTTTACCTTTTTACTTGTAAATTTCAAACACTATATCGTTACATAGTTTTGAATTTTTTTTAGCTCCACTCAATAAGAGCTAAAATTGGAGTCGAAACGTATGGATTTGAGAGTGAATTAAAATTAAAAAAGGAATCATGTTTTTATTGCTGTTATGGTCGAATATATATATATATATAGTATAGATCAAAAATATGTTTCCAATTAAAATTAACCCATTTCAGGCACTGCGATGTATAACGGCAATGAAAACTTCTCACACTATTTTTCCCTGAGTTGAGTAGAAGTTTAACTCATTGTCAGGGGGTATCCATTAATCAAGTGAGTGAGTTTCTATAGACTTTTTGACTCCCCTCCCCTTGGTGATACATGGTGATATTCAAAATTACCCTCCCTCCCACCAAACATCACGTGTATTTTTAGTTGCGTGGAAAAACTGTAAAATTTTTGAATTTTGCTTGATAATATTTGAACTTTTTTGTAAAAATAATTAAAAAAATAAATACATGTGATATCGTACTATACCCCTCCCTCCCCCACGTGATATTTTGCGATTTTTTGTCAATTCCTCCCTCTCCCTAAAAACCTCACGCGATTAATGGACGCCCCCTCAACTCAAGGACCTGCCTCGGGGCAGAGCACCCATCATTTATTATATATATATATTAGGGTGGTCCTTAAAATGATCATTTTCGAATTTCCTTGCTCCCAGGGGCTCAAATGGTTCCAAATTGATAAAAAACAATTCTCTGAAAGTTTTAGCTCTTAAAATTAACGTTTAGATAGAGCGCAATTCAATCAAAGTTTTGTATGGAAATGGCATGGAAAATTTTTCAAAAATTTTAAAAATGTTTTTTAGATGTAATTTAGTAAACAAATGAATAAATAAAACTCATTCATTTGTCGCTAAGTTATACCTAAAACATTTTTTTTTAATTTTCAAAACTTTTTTCATGCTCTTTCCATACAAACTTTGATGAAATTGCGCTCTATCTAAACGTTAATATTAAGAGCTAAAACTTTCAGAGAATTGTTTTTTATCAATTTGGAACCATTTGAGCCCCTGGGAGCAAGGAAATTCGAAAATGACCATTTTAAGGACCACCCTATATATATATATATATATATATATATATATATATATATATAGGTCGAGCTTTGCAAGCTTCGGTGCAACATAAAATTGTAACAATATTTTTTATTGATGTGTTATTGATTGCGTTGTAAATAGTTATTTTTATCTTTTTCAGATGATAATACAGATCTTCACAATCCTTATAATAGTCCAGCGTACGTGCGCGCCTACCAGCGCTCTCTAGATAATCCGGAACATTTCTGGGGGGAAGTTGGCCATGGCCTTGTTTGGACAAAGCCATGGACCAAAGTGCTTGATAATTCTGACGAACCTTTTACGAAATGGTAAATAGTTATAATGATTTTTAAAATTTTAAATAAAACACTAGGTTTCACACATTGGAGTGAACTCTAGATAATTATTTCTTTTTTTTTTATTTCTTCTATTATAATTTTTTACAATTTATTTTATATTATTGTTTTTCATATTATTGTTGTTATTTTTTTTTCTTATTTTAAATTTATTTATTTATTTCTTATTATTTTCATTTTTTTTGTTTCCTCTCGTTTGTGTTACAATAACTTATAAAATTAAATTGTATCTTGATTGCCATTTTAGTAAATAAAAAAAAAATTATTATATATTCTTGATTAATCAAAATTTATATCAACATTTAAATAATCTGGCACAGAAAATAAATTATTCATTATTCATTCATTCATTTATATACTTGTATGTGTGTATTGCTGCTTTATGATCTCTTTTAAATTGATCTACAATTTTCATCAAATTGTTTAACATGTCTAAGCAAAATATATCGATTTTCTATTTCAATTCCAGATATATTTATTTTTGTCATAAAATTTATATGATTTTATTTTGTAATTTTGATTTGGTTTTAATTTGTATAATAATTTCAAAAATCTGTGTTTTAAATGACATAACATGCATTTTTCCATGTGGCGCAGAAATGATCATTTCCGCCAGCTAAATTATAAAGTTTTCTATCAGATAATTAGAAATATGAAAAACATTTCATTCTACCTGCATCATTATATTAATGAGCTGAAAATCATTATTTGCTATAATTTAAAATTATTAATAATTAATATTAATAATTATAATTTAAAAAAAATATCAAAAGCATTTTCAATAATTACAGAATTTATCTTTTCAATTTCTTTACAATTAGAAAAAAAATGTTTAAATTTTGAAATATTTAAAAAATTTGGACTTTTTTCAAATCGCGCCGCACAGCGGATTCCATAAAAATGCAAACAAAATTTGTGCTTATCACTAAAACCTCTATAAAATATCTAATAATTTGATGTACTTATGTATAATAATCATTTTTGACCGCCAAAAGGCATTTTTTTTACTTTTTCCAATGTATTTCCGCTTTACTTGCCTTCTCAAAACTAGTCGTTCATTTCGTCAATACAAGTAAAATGTTTTTTGAATCATTCAAATCGGGCGCTCCGTTCTCTCAAAAACTGAATTACCATTTTTGGAACGTTGAGAATCAATTATAATCAATTTGTGTTAAGTAGCAATGATAAACAGTTTATTTTTATTAAAATTTTATTTACAGGTTTGTAGGTGGTGAATTGAACGCCTGTTACAATGCCGTCGATAGGCACGTAGAGGCTAATAAGGGACAAAATGTAGCCCTCATACACGACAGCCCACTAACTAAGACTATCAGAAAAGTTACATATGCAGAACTGCAGAATACGGTGAGAATTAAAAATAATAATAATTATAAATTTTTAATTATAAATTAGTACAAAGCTGTAATAATATCAAAACCCTTTTTGAGTAACAGTCCACGAAATGTTGAATTTTGGCTTACATATACATAACACCAGGACCGCTCCTGGCCCGCAGCCAATTTTTTGCAAGCGACACCGTATTATTTTCTCTTTTTGAACAGTTTAACATTAAAATTATAGAAACATTTACGTTAATATTTGTAAATAATTTTTGATGAATCTGGATTTAGTACACAAGAAATTAGATATAATCTAATTATCGTAAGAACCGAATTGTATGTATTCATATATACTTTCCCATCGTGTATCAGATAGTTTCTTTAAAGTTTAAAAAATATTGTCCAAGATTAGTAAAAGATGCAAAGAAATTATATATTTTTTGAATGATATTGAAAAAACTATATTATAAATTTCATATCCAAATCTCGTTTTGGCGCCCCCTAAGGCGTGCGCCCGCATTTTTTGCATGCATCGCATTCAAGGTAGGACCGGCCCTGCATAACACACCCACATTTTAACAATTTTGGTATGAAACGATTCAGAAGTATTTAAAAGCTCAAAAAAACAACGTTGACAAATCAGATTTTATGGCAAAAACATAAACGTATCTAAATAGAGTGCACAAAATTTAAAAATTATCTAGATTATCTTATTTTTTCGTAATATATTTTTAGGTATCCCGTTTGGCAGGAGTACTCGCATCCCTTGGCGTTAAGCGTTCAGACCGAGTTCTAATCTACATGCCACTTATTCCTGAAGCCATTGCTGCTATGTTAGCCACAGTTCGACTTGGAGCAATTCATTCGGTTGTTTTTGGAGGTCAGAAATAATATTATCCATACTTACAATTAGTCATAATTTCTTAGTTAAACTAAATCAGTATACCAACAAATTACATTATGACAACACACTTTTGACGAAAAAATTAGATGATGGGCCATATCTGGTTCCAAAGCGTCGAAAATGATTACTTAATTTCAGAAAAACACTTTGAAACACAAACACAAATTAATGACAAATCCAGTCGTTGTCTATAATATATTTAACATTATTCAATTTAATTATTGATATAAATAATAATAATAAATCTGCGAGATAGATGCGAGAATTGCAGAGGGCATGCGGCATGATAATGCATAGCCTCTGGCTAGATTCTAGCTATTTCGTTTAAATCGAAATAGACAAGCCATTAACCACTAATTTAAAATAATGATAATAATAATTTCAGGTTTTGCATCAAGAGAATTAAGATCACGAATTATACATGCAGAGCCGAAAGTAATTATTGCAGCCAGTTGCGGAGTTGAACCAAATAAAATCATTAGGTATCAAATAAGTTCAGATAAATTATTTTATTTTTATATTTATTCATTAATTAAATGAACGATTATTTTCATTTATTTATTAAAAATAAATAAAAATCAAATAGTGAATTTAGAAAAAAAAATTATTTTCTTACGTCTTGCCTCGATTATTTTATTTTTTTCTTTTACAGGTATAAAGAAATATTGGATGAAGCGTTAGATTACCCTGGTTTTAAGCCATCACGATGTATAATATTCCAAAGACGAAATATACATGTTTGCACTTTAAAGCCAGAAATTGATGTCTGCTGGGACCAAGTTCTCGCAAACGCCATGCCACATCCATGCGTATCTGTAGAAGCTAATCATCCTCTTTACATACTTTACACATCAGGCACAACAGGTATTTTTGGGAATGACGAGATGATAAACTAAAAGTACAATGACCCCATTGTATATTCTTTCTCCTGTTGTTGAAACAACATTTTCACAACTATCATTGTTCTTCATTATTAGTTTCCTTAGCTGTCTCCTTAATTTGCAGTGTCCTTTCAGGTAATCTGCTATTAGTCGCATCTCTCTTCGTTGAGGATCAGAAAAATGTTTTGTGTGGTTTAATTATAATTTCCGAGAAACTTGTTTCAAAGCTAAAGAAATTTCCGAGTAATATTTTACTACTCGAGTTCATGATATCTTTGTAAGTTTATTTTTGAAGTAGGAATCTTCAAGGCCGCTGTACGGTTTTTTTGATAAATTATAGAAGAATAGTCTAATTGACGTCTAAATTATAGTGTTTTTAGCACATAATTTATACTATAATACTATAAAATCTGAAAGATGCAGTTATGTTTAATAATAAGGTGACCATACGGCCCGATTTGGCCGGGACAGTCCCGGATTTTTCACCACTTGTCCTGGGTTTTTTTGAAAGCAATATTTGTCCCGGATTTGGATGTTCTGTCCCGGATTGTTCTGGGTTTCCAAAAAGAATAGATATTAATTGAATATTTGCAATTAATTGATAATAAAATTACAACAATACATCAAATTTTACTTATATGAAACAATTCATTATGAATGAATAATTTACCAAATACAAAATCTCAAATGCCGATTAAAATAGCCCACCAATTTAACGAGAATTACCAAAAAAAAATTGCACTTACAGAATTTTCATAGATACATTTTATATTTGCAAAATCACCAATTTCTTAAATTTCAGGTTTAGCAAAGTAATGCAATATTATTTCTAATATTTCCTATTTCATCAGATGATCCAAAGGGCATTCAACGTCCGACAGGTGGACATTTAGCTGCCTTGGCATGGTCCATGAACGCGTTGTACGGCCTTCAGCCAGGATCTGTGTGGTGGTCGGCATCAGACCTCGGCTGGGTTGTCGGTCACTCATATATCTGTTACGGGCCCTTACTTGCAGGAATTACATCGGTCATGTATGAAGGAAAACCCGATCGCACGCCCGACCCCGGACAATACTTTCGGTTAGAGAAAAAATATCCATATACATAGATATAGACAATATTTACTCACAAATTGTCCCAGTAAACATTTATAATGTATAAATTTTATTACTTTACTTTCAGTATTATTCACGAACACCGAGTTAACGCGATGTTTACTGTACCAACATCATTCCGAGTAATAAAAAGACTTGACCCAGACATCACTTTTGGAAGGCATTACAGTACCGAATCCTTACGAGCTATATTTGTTGCTGGAGAACACTGTGACCATGAAACTAAAGTTAGTATTCTATTATAACTTAAAAGTAATTTTAAGTTCTCTGCTCGAGGGCTAGTCCTTGAACTGAGTTCAACCTCCACTGGAATCGTGAAAGTATAGTATGATAAGTTTCCTGTTTCCATTTTATCTACAGGACCCAAGTACTTCATTTTTAATTAAAAATATATTTTAATAAAAAGTTTTAAATTAAAAAAGCATAATGCCAGATGACGAATCACTAGGTGCGGGCGGAGAAAGTATATATTTTCGAACCAGCAATCAAAATATAATTTTAAAAAAATATAAAAGGATTAATTTTCTACGTTTAGACAATTGTAGGAAAGAGACTAATTTTAATATATCTTATATATAAAAATGGAGCTCTTTTTCAAATGTCTAAGTAAAATTCGAAAACGGCTAAACCGATTTGGCCAGTCTTAGTCTTGAAAAATTCGTGCCAATCCAGAGAAAGTCCAAAAGGTGAGAAATTATTTCAAATCCGCGTAGAAACTTTACATTTTTAATTTGAAAATTTTTGTACAAGCGTAATTTGAATAAAACAATGAACGGTGGCTAATACGTGAAATGTCAAACGTTTTTGACAGATGATGTTCAATTATGTTTGATAGGTTGTCTTATATAAATATTAGTTAATTATGATTAAATATTGTAAGTAGTTTTGTTTGTAGTTTTATTTGTACACAAAAACGTTATTAAACGAGCCTCAAGTGTTACTATAAACTCAAAATATCTACTTTTTTGTAATGTTAATATAAAAATGCACTTTTTAGCATATTTATATTTCATACGGTGCTATGAAAGATCTTATTTGTATAATTATATACTCATTGGTATTTATAAAACATTTCCTGGGTTATATTATTTTTTATTTATGTTACTTTAATTCAGAACCTAAAATTGGTATTGATCAAAGGGACATTTTTGTCGAATAACATTTTCCCAGTTATAATTTTCCAGAATTTATCGAAGAATAGATAGTAATTTATAAAGGTCCGGGGTTAAATAAGTTTACTACTGATGTGTCAAAAACCAGTAAAGCTAAGCATTGTTCAACAGCAATATTTGAAAGTTGAGGAAAAAAGATGTATGACCAGCTATAACCTTGATTTGAAAACGGTAATCTTTGAAATGGGGAAGATAAACGGTAATTTAAAATTATAATAAGGCTTTAAACCTTTCTGCCACCTGTCCGTTTCAAGTTACCCCGCCTATAGGGTAAAAAGGTCTAGATAACAAATTTTTGAAAGACATCAAAAAAGCAGCACATGAACGTAGTCAGATAATCGTTCGTTAGATATGTGTTATTTGTTGTGATATAATTGTTATGGTTTTCACAATATAGTTTATATTTGCTCAAAGTCAAATTGGACCTTTGTGTCTCGCCCTGCTCTACCTATATACTTTTTATTAAATTTACTTTAATTCATCGAATGTTACTTGAAATTTTTCAAAAAGCAGGTCAAAGAAGAAATACTTAATTCATTTTCTATCTCTCCTCGCACAAATTTGAAAATTTTGTATAAGCTCAGTAGTATTGTTTACAATTATATACAAAATCCAGAATCCAAAAAGAATCTGAAAAACTGGAAACGTAATGAATAAGTCAAAAGAACAAAAAAGACTTGGATTGGATTATACCATGTTTTCCAAAGAAAGTGTATAAAACTTCCAGTTTGATTGTATTGACAAGATATAGTCAAACTAACGGGGCTTATTGTTTTTATAATATCTCATTCTATATAGCATTCGAACAACACATCCTTATACACTTAAAATATTTATATTTTTGATTCCTTAGAATCAAAAATATAAATATCCTTGTTTAGAATATACCTAACTTAGCAATACAACGTTTGCCGGGTCAGCTAGTATAATATATATTTATATATCGTTTCAAAATTTCGAATAATTACTTTCAAATTCCTATTGTTATTTAAAATTTAGAAAAATCCGAACGCAGATTTAATAATACATAATTAACATTAATGCTCATTTTACTTTTGCTATAGATTAAATATTGTTTTTATTTATTCATAGACTTGGGTACAAACAGTTTTTCAAGTTCCCGTTTTAAACCATTGGTGGCAGACGGAAACTGGACACGCAATCACAGCATCCTGCGTTGGTTTGGGCCACAATCTCAATCCGCCCAACAACTGTGCGGGTATGCCGTTTCCTGGATTTGACGGTAATTAAATTATATACAAATGTACTTTGTATTAAGTTTTATCCATATATTAAAAACTTGTAATAACGATACATTTACTATTTAAACCATCGTGATCATATATTCTTGAAAATCAGCGATCAGCTCAAAAACTGTACGTTAAAGACGCAAAAAATTTTGGATATTCAAATCTATAAGCACCGTTTAATTTAGATGTTTTTCTAATACCCCTAGTATGCCATTTGCTGCTTTTTTAACTTCCCGAAAGAGAAGTTTGTTTTCATCAAAAAATCCGATTCGCTAACTTTGTTTTCTCGACGTTTCAAGCCATTCTGAATCGAATGAGACCAAATTTGGAAAAAGTATGTGTGTGTGTGTATGTGAACAAATTTTTTTCCGAAAATCGACGTTTTCTCGAAAACGGCTGGGCCGATTTCAAAAATTTAAAAGCCATTCGATGTATCTCGGCGAGGACTATCGTTTATCAGTTTTGTGGGACGATCGGCCAAGACGTTTCTTTATAAATAGCAGAAAAGTGAAAAAAAAATTGTCCACGTTTTAGCCCGCAATGCTGAACCGCTTATGAAAATTCAAAAACCGTTCGAAAGAGATTGATTGGGAATAGTGCTGATTAGTTTTTTGTAAAGATCGGCCGGGTCGTTTTCTTGTAATAAAGTGTTAAAAAAAATTTTTTCGACGATTTTTATTATTATTTTTTTGACGGTAGATATTATAGTCTTCTAGATCATACTAAAATATTACGGCTCTACGACAATTGGTTTAACTTTGAAAATTCGTCAAAGTTTGCAAAATTTGGTATCGTTTTTTTGGCATTTGTCAAAATTAGACTTTTTATCGACATTTTCTCCAAAACGCCTGAATCGGTTTCAGAAATTTAAAAACCATTTGATGTATTTCGATGAGGACTATCGTTTATCAGTTTTGTGCGACGATCTGCCAAGCCCTTTCTTTGTAATTTGAAAAAAAGTGTTAAACTTTTCATCCACATTCATGTATATCATGGTCTTATAGAACGTACTGTAATATTACGGCCTTACGACAAGTAGTTTAATTTTAAAAATGCATCAAAGTTTGAGAAAATGAGTAGTTTTTTGACGTTAGCTAAAATTAAAATTAGACGATTTACTTGGTATAACAATATAGTACTTGGTCTTAATAAACATACTAAACCATTAAAATCCTACGGAAACTGGTTCAAATTTAATAATTGTTGATATTTGAAAAGTTGCTTTTTGAAAATACTCCGAGTTAACGTGTTCGTTCGTTTTCAATTATGTGTAATAAAATCACTCATAAATTAATTTATTTTTTATTGATTAAGTCGATTATTTACACATATCGGGAAGTTCATGTAACTTACCTCAAGGCTAAATACTAATACCAACTAGTTGTTAATCTGTTTAGCATATTTACACATATTTATTAAATTGTCTTCAATTTACAGTTCACATTTTGCGACAAGATGGAACCGAATGCTTGCCACATGAGTTGGGCCGCATAGCATGTAGGTTACCACTACCACCAGGCACTGCCTCCACCCTATATAAATCTCCTGAACGTTTTCTATCAGTATACTTCGATAAATACCCGGTTAGTAAAAATTTCTAACTTATATATATATCATACATATAAGAATATTAGCATTAACTGTTTCCAATTATGTTGAATGCTAAGAGTGCATGTTTTTGTATATTGTTTCTAGGGATATTATGATACGATGGATGCAGGTTACAAAGACGAATTCGGTTACGTATACGTGACGGCCAGAGACGATGATGTTATCAATGTTGCCGGTCATCGATTAAGCACCAGTGGCTTAGAAGATGTAGTTTTAGGACATCCTGATGTAGCGGACGCGGCAGTGGTCGGGGTGCCGGAACCAACAAAAGGCGAAGTTCCGCTTTGCTTGTTTGTCATGGTGCCGAGTGAGTAGACTCATTTATTTATATATTCACATTCATTAAAATTGATATATATCAAATAATTATAACATGAATATTATAGTTTTTGATCATTCCAGAATCGTAAATGTATATGAATATTTTTTTAATTTTTATGCAATACCTTACAATCTGTTTTTAGATAGACATTCAGTAATTGATTTGAGAAAGGAAAACCCAACGGTTGACCTTTTAATATATGGGCATATGAAAACATTTCGACAACAATATATTAATAACTGATTGATAAAGTCAAATATGGCAGGAGGCATTTTTGGCATTTGACATGAAAGTGTTACGATTTTTAGTTGTTCATTGATTAGAATTATTATCAGATTTCAGATATTATTATCAGATTAATCCGATATTGAGTAACAGCTTATTTGTTTGGAAGTTTTATTATTGAATAACATGTTTTTGAAATAACTTGATTATTTGAAGGTTTATTCAAAAGAATTTCATAGATAAGAAGTTGATATTTCAGTATTCTATATTTTCAGTCTTATCTATATAAAAGTTTTGCGATAATATCGCAAGTAAATAATTTTTAAATTAAATTATATTACTTGCTTCGCTTATACAGGCTTTTTGGCATTGGAATTTTTGGAAATTACAACATTCGTGTCATTCTGAATAATCGACCGAAAGGAACTAGTTTAGACATTTGTCATTAAAAGAAGCACCAATATTATTATTTGTTTGATATGTTTATATAACAATGAAATATATCATTAACATGATTAACTTATCAAAAGTACGTGAGTAAATTTATAATAAACACTAAATAAAAAAAAAAAATTCTACATTTTTATCTAGCAAATTGTTTTTTTAATGCACGTTTTTAGTAACAAAAATGAAACATAATAGTAATTAGTATCATTACTATAAGTTTATTTTATAATCACACTAGCAAACCCGACGAACTCCGTTTCGCCACCAGATGGTTTCGTTAAAAAGATGAAGAAATTTTTTGTTTGTTTTATATTTGAAAAGGAAAAATTTACATTTGTTTACAAAAATGAAGTGTTTTTTAGTTGAACTTCTCTAAGTAAATAAAAGTGAATCCGCAAATTATCCGTTTCATTGAATGGTAAACCACATTTTTTGTTGTTTGGTCTGACGTTAACACTTTATCCCGCATTTACACTAAGCGATTGATAAGGAGAACTGGAAATTGCAATCGTTTGAAGTCAAGCGGAAGACCAGTTAGAATCATTGGTATGTCACCAAATCGCCAGCAATTTTTGATTGAATGGTGGAATTCAGTGCGTGTACAGCATATTTCTTGGCGGCAAGAATTGCTCGTTGACTTAACCAAGCATAATTCTGATAATTCTTACTAATGTCATTACTCGAATTTTTAATTACGGTGCGTGAAGTTCCAGCAATTTGCATTAGGACACGGTGCCATGCACCACTAATTTTCTTAGCTATGAACCTTGCGGAGCCAGAGACCTTTCCAAAGAATGCAAAATTGTCGAAATCGGTTCGTGCGTTCAGGAGTTACTTCGTCAGGAAAGAAAACTCGACTTATTTTTATATATATAGAAGATAATCTATTTGAAATTATTTAAAACAATTATTGATTATTTTCATTACTCGAATTTTTAATTACGGTGCGTGAAGTTCCAGCAATTTGAATTAGGGCACGATGCCATGCACCACTAATTTTCTTAGCTATAAACCTTGCGGAGCCCGAGACCTTTCCAACGAATGCAAAATTATAGAAATCGGTTTGTGCTTTCTGGAGATAAATCGTCAGGAAGGAAAGCCCGACTTATTTATATATATATATATATATATATATATATATATATATATACCCTGTAAACAATTTTATATTGCCGTTAGGTTGCGGTTATATAAAAATGTTACCTAGTTATATAACGTCAACCTCACCGTCCCTAAGGAATTTTATTACCTGGAGATAACTATTTCCTACCTTGTTAGTTAACTTGTTATATAACATTGTTAGGTTGCGGTAACATACTGTAATGTACTATGCGATATGAATCAGCACTTTTTGAAATGCTTATAATTTATGCGTAAATAATTAATTTTTCTCTAAAAAAAAAGATTTACTCATATTTCATTGTATTTATTATTTAAAATTAATATTTTACAATAAACAAAGTAGCAACAAATATTTTATACTAAATAGAACAGTAACAAATATTCCATAGTAAACAAAATAGCAACAAATATTTTATAACAAATAGCAACAAATAATTTGTACTAAACAAAACAGTAACAAATATTTTATAACAAACAAATAGCAACAAATATTTTGAACTAAACGAAACAGTAATAAGTATTTTATAACAAATAAATAACAGCAAATATTTGTTGCTATTGTTTATTATAAACTATTTTGTACTAAACAAAACAGTAACAAATATTTTATAACAAATAAATAGCAACAAATATTTTGAACTGTAGAAAACAGTAATATATTGCTATTATAAAATATTTGTTACTGTTTTGTTTAGTACAAAATATTTGTTACTGTTGTGTTCAGTTCAAAATATTTGTTGCTATTTGTTTGTTATGAAATACTTATAAGTATTTTATAAGAAACAAATAGCAACAAATATTTTGAACTATATAAAACAGTATCAAGTATTTTATAACAAATAGCAACAAATATGTTGTACTAAACTACTAGCACCAAATATTTGTTCCTATTTGTTTGTTATAAGTATATAACAAATACTTATAAGTATTTTTAACAAATATATAACAAACAAACAAACAAATACTTATTAGTATTTTATAACAAACAAATAGCAACAAATATTTTGAACTGAACAAAACAGTAACAAATATTTTATAACAAACAATTAGCAACACATATTTTATACTAAACAGAACAGTAACAAATATTTTATAACAAACAAAAAGCAACAAATATTTTGAACTAAACAATACGGTAATAGGTATTTTATAACAAATAGCAACAAATATTTTGAACTAAACAATACAGTAATAAGTATTTTATAACAAACAAATAGCAACAAATATTTTATACTAAACAGAACAGTAACAAGTATTTTATAATAAACAAAATAGCAACAAATATTTTATACTAAAGAGAACAGTAACAAATATTTCATAAAAAGAATAACAACATTATAATAAAGAAAATAGCAACAAATATTTTATACTATATAGAACAGCAACAAATTTTATAAAGCAATAATAAACTTCATAACAAGACAGTAATAAAAAACAATATAATAAACAATACAGCAACAAATATTTTAGACGATACATAAAATTTATATCAATTACATTTATTTTTTGTTATTTACACAATGAAAAACAAAATAGTAACCTATTAAACAAAAAAATAACATAATAAACTAGAATATTTTAAATGTTAAAAATAACAATATTAAATATGTTATAATAAACAGTAACAAATATTTTTCGAAAACAATAACAAAAATATAAAATTTATATTCATTACAATTATTAATTTCATATTTTCAAATGAAACACAAATTGAATATAAAACTATTTTTAAATGATATTAATTAATAATAAAGGATGGAAATAAAAATATCTAGTTTTGGTCTAACTATTAACCTAGCTATCTCGACACACCAATATACAGAAACTTTATTACATAATTCCAAATTAGGATGACAATTTTCAAATAGAATTATATTTTTTGCAAAGAAACAATACAACTATTAGAATTATAGTTGAGCATTATTAAGCTTTGATTTTTTCTTATCGAGATACTTCCAACATCTTCATTTTCAATATTCACAATTTGTTAATTCCATCGTAGCCCATATATACTATTCCACCTTAAAACAAATGAGAAAGGTTAAAACAGAATTTATAATAGTAATTAGTTAACAAAAACTATGCCATATACCTTTCATTTATTCCTTGTTTTGCTGTTTAAAACCCTCTTGATATTCTTCATATTAATCACATATGTTATTCGAGGCAATTGAGGATTTAAACCGAGACGTAGAATCCAATCCTAAAAAGAAATTATTACAATAATAAAATATAAACCTCAAAAGCCAAAAATTTAAACAGTTATTTACCTTTAGTATCTTGTAGCATTGTCGAAAACTAAATTTTCATATCCAAATAATAAGCTCTATTTTTTTTTGAGACATCTCCAAACGCGGGCCTTATAAAAATAATTAGGCTTTTAGCACAGTAACCAACAAATAAATTTTACTTACCCTTCATAATATTATATATCAAACAGCACTTCATAGAATTCATTTTGAGGTTATTTCTTATACTCTTTCGATTTCAATGTAGCTGAACAAATTTCACATAAGCAAATATGTAAAGTTTACGCCATATGATGCTATATATTTTTGCATTTTTATTTATACACTTAGCACTCAATATTACAAAATATTTAAAATAAAACAAGACAAAACAACCCAACAAAACATCCCCACATATGACAGAGTATAAAATCAAAATGGCGTACAGCGTACAGGCTACAGGGCGCAATGCACTCTGGGAAACCTGACTCCTGAGTCTTAGTCCCTCTGCCGAAAAAGGAAGACAACCGTTAAACGTTTAAAACGTTTAATCGAATTCAAAAATTTTAATATACTTTTTTGTTATTTTTGTTTGATATTTATACCTTCACGTGTAAATAATATTAGCATTTATTTGAGTTTTCGATTAATTTTATATTTTTCACTTAATATTCCATAATAAAGTCCTCCGTAACACCTGTAAATTTTTATTTTGATATTACTTATAAATATATATCTTTTCTTCCGTATTATTGTTGTTATTAATACAAAATTATAATGTTTCAGAAATCACTTAATATTTATATGATCGTAAGTTTTATAAGTAATATCAAAATAAAAATTTACAGGTGTTACGGAGGACTTTATTATGGAATATTAAACGAAAAATATAAATTAATCGAAAACTCAAATAAATGTTAATATTATTTACACGTGAAATTATAAATATCAAGAAAAATAATAAAAAAATATTATATCTGAATGAGAATCGAACCCGGAGCAAAAATTAGAATTCCACGACGATAACCACTCGGCCAATCTGCTGTTAATAACGAATAGCTTGCAAGGTATGCAATACGCGCGCTGCTAAAATGCAAACTTTAATTGTTTTTATATTTAAACCGCTTTTCACAGGCCTCTAATATTTTACCACGGTCAGTTTGGGCATCAAATCTAGCCTTGTGCCAAGTTTCATCAAAATCCGAGACGGGCAATGCGTGGATTCTCCTTATAAGTTTTTAAAATTTTTTGAAAAAAATAGTTTGTTTTAAGTAAGTAATTGAAGAAGTAAAAATTCTATTTTTTGGAAAACTTAGAAATGTAATTTTTTTATTTAAAACTTTGAAATTTTACTATAACGTCCGTAGTAAGTTATAGAAGTCGCAAAAAAATCGAGAATGAAAATTTTGTCGACGTTTCGGGAACAACATTCGATTCGTATTGATAAGGAGGCGTGCTGATGCAGCCGTTCGAAGATACCGGGGCAAAAAGTGCCCAGGTAACCCAGTTTTTAAGAGAACGAAGCGTCCGAATTTAATAATTCAAGAACATTCTATG